TTTGCTTTTAAATTCCCTCCTAAAGCCCCAAGTTCACATACGCTCTTGTAATGTGGCAGGGAAAAGTAGTTTAAGGTTAAGCTAAACAAGCTCAGTTTTAGTGATTGCTCCAGTTGAGGAGCCTACGGCTGTCATGCCTCCGCCTCAGCAAACACTTTTCCCATCCTACTCACGGCAGCCCAGGCAGGCTATTTGCTCACAGCAAGAGCACTTTCACCAGCTGTTTGCCTGCAAGAAAGGCCAGGGGCCCTGACTCCTTGCAGGGCTAACTGAATGCCTGGGTGCCAAGGGGCCAGCAGCACCTCGAGCAGATCTGGTGAGTCCAGATCAGCYCCAGATGTGTTGGAGACCCCAAGCTCTGCCATTTTTCTTCTGCATTCGAGACCTGTTTCTGAGTTCTTTCAGGAGCTCCGCATTTCTGGCCTTTATTTCCTCTCTGTTTTCAAGCAGCTCTATTTGTATCCCAGGTGCGGATACTTGGATCTACCTGCAATTATAGCCCCAAACTTGCATTTTGGTGATGAGGACATTCTGCTTGGGYATTTGGATTCCATGTTCTCAAGCAAAGTAGGCCATCAGAGCCACATCTTACGTCCTGGATAAGGTCTCATACCTCTAGCTTATCTCATACAAATGGGTTTGTTTGTTTTGTTTTTTAAAAAAGAAAATCTTGATCCCTGTCTTTTTTGTTTGTTTGTCTGTTTTTAAGTGTAAGCAGTGGTGCCTACCTCAGAGGAAAATTACCGTCCATGACTTTGCCACTCTGTCTTCATATTAGGACTTATTTTTACCCCATTCTGAGATTTGTAACTCTCTTCCAGGCATTCCTGTATGGCTTTACGGGAAAGCCATATCTRTAACAGTGTTCCAGATACCACTCCTGGGACCTAAAATTAAATACTTCAAAGTGTTTTGACTAGTTCTTACTACTGACATGGGCCTTTGCCTTAAATTAGCTGTTCTCTGGTGCTTGCAGCAATTGTCATAATGTAAATAGTCTAAAAGGTTTTCAGGAGAATTTTCATTCATGATTCCAATGTATTCTATGGGTTTGTGTTACTTAATGTTTAAGAACTAATATTCATTGCTGGGTTTCTTTTTAATCAGGAATGCCAGACATCTAAGCCAAATGTAGACTGAGCCAAACTTTGCTGGACCAAGTTGTCTTATTGTTTAGAGACCAGTAGATGGCAACCACCCATTACAGTGTCAAAGGTAAATGAAAAGTGAGAATTGTAAAGGTATTCGATTTATTACCTGACAGCTTGAACAATAAGGTTTGCTGCTCCCCGGATGGAAAAAGTAATACTTTATTTCTGCTCCTGGTTTTGCATATTTTTAAAATGGAACCGTGAGATACAGTTTTGTATAGCCAGTTTTGACAAATGCATTGTTAATTGTTAAAATTTATTAGACAAAAATATCTTATGGCCTTCCTTACTGGTGAGAGCAGTTAAAAAAAGGAACAAAGACAACCCTCCCCCCCCCAAAAAAAAGACATAAGGAAACCACACTATCTTCAACCAGAAGAGTTTCAAGTTGTTATCATCATTAGCTTCATTATTACTTAAGATAAAGCAATTAGAAAGAAATAACAATTACTATGGATTTGAAAATAATGCTCCCTTTAGGAGCTAGCTGATGTATTGACATACCAGTTAATTAATCTTTGTTATCTTGAGTTCTTTTTTTTGAAATCTTTTGAAATGATCGAATTTGAAGTACAATAAAAGACTTTTTTTTCTAGGAGAAAACTTGAAAGGTTCAAAAAGACAATATCTGAGAACTTGTTATTTCAGTCTCTCATTTCTTCAGTGTAAAGAGGGAAAAGAATTTACACCTCAAAAAGAAGCTCCATCATTACAATGGCRAAAAAGTTATCAAAATACACCTGTCACTCTCTTAGAAAAATACTCAATATCTGGAGTCACATTAGCTTTTTCTCTAGCATTCCATATTTTGTGAATGCCCAGTTAGGTTTGCCATGCATAAAATATGGATGTATGCACACACATGTAGAGTGTCTATAGCACAGAAATAAATCAGACCTTTAGACCTCTGAAGGATTCCATTACTGCCTGTYACTGTGTGGTATAACAGGTTTGAAAAGAATATGCAACAAATAGCCCAAAAAACAAAAACAAAACAAAAAAACCTAAAGCTAAAACCAGCCAAAGAGAATAGCAYTATTACTAAGTAACAGTAGAACAAAATACTCTACATTACTGAGATGTCTCTCCCTAACTTTTCTAACACTTTGGAAACCATTAACTTAAAACACATTAACTTTCATCCTTGCAGTAAAAGGTGCATATGTTTATTGTCAGAACTCACAGTTYTACTCAGGAGCCTGAATGGATGGATACAGATGGAGTAACCTTTCATTCTTGTTAAAAGTTACAGCTTGATCCACTGTGAATTTTTAAATGACTTCAAATTATGAGAGCTCAACTGGGATCCATTTCTCCTGACTGAATACTAATACGTTGTTATTAGGAGTGGCTTCTATATCCCTTAAAAAGAAGTAGTATTCCTTAAAAAGGAGAGAGGGAGAGGCTTCCTTGTTATTTTCTATCTATAATAAAATATAATAAGATTTATACTTTAAAGAACATCTACATATTAATGGAATTTATGGGTTTTTTGTCTTTACAGAAATTAAACACCTTTTCATGATCTAAAATTTATTCTACTTTTCATAGAATTCTATGTAGAATATATTATAGAAGTCAGTTCTGCCTTAAAGTGAGTTCTTTGGCATGTGTACCTTCATTTCCTTATGAATCCGTAAGTTTTATGAAGAGTCCTACAGTTATTATTACTCCGAAACTTTTAAGGAAAAAAAAAAAAAAAAAAAGAAAAGCAAGGAAAGATAAGACATATCTTCTAAATTATTTTTAGAAAGAGGGAGTTTTTAGACAAACACTAAAAATACATCTGTTTGCTTATTTTATTTATTTTGTTTCAAATGACTGAGGACCACACATAGTTTTAAAGATTCAAAATCTGTTCTTTCTATGAAGGGCTGAGGAAGGTGTCACCCCTRTTTTCTGGAAGAGAAAGCAGAAGAMTGGAAGACTTCACAAGGGAAGGAACCTTCTTTACAGTTTGCACAGAATGAAGTTTACTTTAAGTCCAAAGGAGCTCATACGGATATTCCCTTCTGCTCAATACTTTGCGCATGTCACAGATCACAAAATACACCCCATGCACTGTAATAAACTTCTGATTTTTATCAGAATCCCACTTCCCCCCAAAGTGTGAAATTGTATACATTTTAGTTAAGTAGGAATCAGTGGCATTTCCAACAACTTGTGTCTCCACATTTCTTTTGGATGTGCACTGAAATTAATGTATTGTCTGCAGTGCCTAAGTCTACTGAAGTTTATGGTCTGGTGAGCATGTGCATGCCTCATGCATGTTGACAAAACAAGACCTATAACACAATCTAATTATAGCCTCACTTCACTCTTTTCCTCCTGTGCTTTGTAAATGTTGAAGGAACMAGAATTGCTCTCTATCATTTTCTATCCTGTCTCTGGACAGTTTTTAGGAGGGTATTTTTGGGTCACAGAAACACAGAACTGTTGAGGTTGGGAGGGCCCTCTAGAGATCATCTAGTCCAACCCCCCTGCTCACCCAGGGACACCCAGAGCACGGGGCACAAGGTGGCATCCAGGTTTGGAAGACCTCCGGAGAAGGAGACTCCACAACCTCCCTGGGCAGCCTGTTCCAGGGCTCTGTCACCCTCACAGGAAAGAAGTTCCTCCTCACMTGGAGATGGAACWGCCTSTGTTGCAGCTTACACCCATTGCCCCTTGTCCTATCATTGGCCACCACCAAGAAGAATTTGGTCCCATCCTCCCTACATTCTCCTTTCAGCTACTTATATATATTGATCAGATGCCCTCTCAGTTTTCTCTAAGTTAAACTAAGCTAAGGCTTAGCTAAGGCCCAACTCACTTATTCTTTCCTAATATGATAGATGCTCCAGTCCCTTAATCATCTTTGTTGCCCTCTGCTGGACCCTCTCGAGAAGCTCCACGTCCCTCTTATACTGGGGAGCCCAGAACTGCACACAGTRCTCCAGGTGCGGCCTCACCAGAGCTGAGTAGAGGGGCAGAATCACCTCCCTTGACCTGCTGGCAACACTCCTCCTGATGCAGGCCAGGATCCCATTGGCCTTCTTGGCCACGAGGGCACACTGCTSACTCATGGTTAACTTGGTGTCAACCAGGACTCCCAGGTCCCTCTCCGTGGAGCTGCTCTCCAGCAGGTCACCCCCTAATCTCTACTGATGCCTGGGRTTATTCCTCCCCAGGTGCAGGATGCTGCACTTGTCCTTGTTGAACCTCATGAGGTTCCTCTCTGCCAAACTATCTAACCAGTCAAGCTCCCTCTGAATGGCAGCACAGTGTCCTTTATTAAGACATTGGAAGTGTGCCTTGTTGAGCAAAGTAACGGCAAATTGGGTGACAGGCTGATCTGATAGCTTTTTATTAGTGAATGGAGATATGAGTCAGCACTTGCCTGAGCACTGACTTTTAATCAAAGAATAAAGTACAGGTTTATGTGGATTTTTCTTATCTAATTTWTTTTTTTTTCTAGTGCCACATGAAGCCTCATTTAAAGAGAGGTGTACTGAGTTGCAGTTCTGGAAGGTGCAGAGTGATTCTGAAGCAGTGCTGCATGCTACTGATTACCATTATTTGCAGTGGCATTCCAGGATAATCAGATTTGGCAGGTTCTGAACCATCATAAATGAGTAAGATAAATGGGTAATAAAAAAGAATGCCAAACAGACAAGTGAGTTTATATTTTATTTCTTGACAGTGTTCAGCTTAAGTGACTTTAGCAATGATTAACTTAACCCTAAAAGTCTGAGATAGCCCTTTCTCAGAAGACACAGTCCTATTCCTCTCCTGTTTTCTCTGAAGCACCATCTCCAGCACAGTCCTATTCCAGTCCTATTTTCTCTGAAGCACCATCTCCTAATGGATGCTTCCTCCTCCATAATGAGGAAAAGAAAGACAACAGATTCCTCAACAGATCTGAGTGAAGGGAGGGAGAATTTAAGGCTGAAGCAAGAGGTAGGTGTGATCAGTGGAGTGTCATTTATTGCAGGCACCATGGTAGGCTCAGGGATCTTTATGTCCCCTGAGTGGGTGCTGTATCATATGGGAAGCCCAGCCAGCAGTCTCGTTATCTGGGCTTCGTGCGGGCTCCTGGCCATGCTTGGAGCCTTGTCTTATGCTGAGCTTGGAACAATAATTAAAGAGTCTGGAGGAGAATATATTTACATCTTGAGGATTTTTGGTCCCCTTCCTGCCTTCCTTTTTGCCTACAGTTCTGTTATCCTGGTGAGACCAGGTAGTTTGGCAGCTGTCTGCCTGAGCTTTGCTGAATACGCTGTAGCACCGTTCTACCCTGGATGTGCATCTCCTCAGATTGTCATCAAATGTACAGCTGCTGCCTGCATCCTGCTTTTAACTATCATCAACTGTCTCAACGTGAAATTGGTGACATCTATTATGAACATTTTTACAGCTGCCAAACTCTTGGCTTTGCTTGTGATTGCGGTGGGAGGATTAGTGCTGCTTGCCAAGGGACACACTCAGAATTTTCAGAATGGGTTTCAAAACACGACTGCAGGTATTGCACCTATTGGAGTGGCATTTTATCAGGGACTGTGGTCCTATGATGGGTGGAACAACCTGAACTATGTAACTGAGGAACTGAAGAAGCCCGAGGTGAGTAAATGAGCTGTATTTTACTTTACATTTCTGCTAAAAGGATGGTTTCTATCTATTATTGTGTTAAGAAGGGTAATTAAGGAATTAGAGCACCAAGTAAAGTATGCTGAGCTTTCCTCCTGTTTTGCTTTGTGTTCTGGGACCTTTGGATATGTCCAAAAGGGCTGTGAAGACAGAAAAAAAAATGTGTCCTTAAGCAAAAGAGCAGCTTAGGTACAAGGAATCACTACAGCAGCTCATTGATTGGGAAAAGTTATTACGTGTTTGAATGTTTGGGGCATTAAGTCTGGTCTTAATATTCACAGGGTCTTACTCTAGGTACCTAGAGTTGGGTAGAAAACCGCTGCCACCTCACTTCCCATGTAATCTGTAAAGGTTTCTAACAGCACATATTCCCCGAGAAATTTAATCCATAATATCAAAAACATCTCTCTTTCCTCATTGCATGGAGGAGGGAGTTTCATTCTGAAATACCCTTATCTTTAAAATCTACTCTTTAGACATTGTGATATGTATGTTATAGGTACTAAAGTAGCTCACTCACATCTTGCATTGGCCCTCTCTATGCTACATTTCTACTTCTCACAGATATCACAAAATATCACTGAACAAMCCTGTGTTAAGAAGTTCTGTATGACTGTAGAAGGTATAGACTACACTTTCTACCAGTGCAGCATACTTTATAGACTTAAACAAAAGTGCACAGTTAAATACTAACCTAAATGTCAACAAATAACCTAGGCTCATGTTGCATTTCTGAAGGTTAGTGTAAAAACTTCCTTGAGAATATGAATCTAAGTCTGTTGTGAATGTATTCTGCGGGAAAGCTTGGTGGATGAAAGAGTTTGAATGAGCGAGATAGGTATCAGCAAAGAGCAAACAAACAAAAAAAATCCTAGTGCAAGGGTGAATATGCTGCAGCTAACATGCTTGCCATCTCTTTTCCAGGTGACCCTTCCAAGAGCTGTGATGATTGCCATTCCTTTGGTGACATGCCTGTATTTGCTAGTAAATGTGAGCTACTTTGCAGCCATGACTCCATCTGAACTGCTGTCTTCGGGAGCAGTGGCTGTCACTTGGGGGTGAGCTCTGCTTGCGGTAACAGCCAAGATGGTCCAATAAAAACGGAATCCCTCTTGGGATTCAGAAGATTTCAGTGTTGTTCTCAATGGGAATGACAGCACTGCACTGGTCAGGCCAATAAACCTTGCTGGGTATTTACATGTTACAGGGAAACACGCTGCCCTCCCACTTTCTGTGGGCCCCAGGGCAGAGTGCAGCTTCTCCTCAACAAAGGCCAGGCAGACCTGCCCCATCTCCCCATGGACACTGGGAATGTGTGGCTCCCTTCTAGCCCACGTTTTTCCCCAGGGAGATAGACTGTAAAGAGGGAATAAAGTGCACAGTGAAGCGTTTCCCCATAAACATTGACAATGCATCCACGGTGAAAATCAAGAGAAGGGAATGGGAAGATGTCCCACAGTTGAACCCTGAGGGCCCAGAACCCAGATGCTAAATTATTAAACTACATTTTTGAAACTATTGTCATATATACGCTACTGTTGTGGTTTTGTAAGGCCTAAATCTTGGTTTTTGAACATTTCTGATAGGTGGTACTGAAAAAGAGTACATATAGCTTACAGCCACAAAATTCAGATGGGAATATAAGCTATTCTAAAAAACAGCGATACTTCAATTTGAGGTTTTAGCCAATTAGATGAACAGTGTGTGAGTGTGTGTCTGTATTTGTAGTAATTCCTCCAGAACACATTTTGTTGCTCAATTAGTATTCTTAATTTCATGATGCTTCATTCCAAAAGATAAATTTCACTTTTAGGTCAGAAAATTATCATATTCTCTAAATATTTAGCTCAAACTACAACCCTACTACTGCAACCCTACTTTTTCTGTTATGAAGAAACCAACCTGCAAATGTCCGCAGTAGTTCAAACTTCTGAAGTTCAAACTATTGTTTTGGCTTAAGCCTGTTTCACAGAGGAGCAGAAGAACGTACACGCTTTAAAGATCTTTAAATTCTCATGAATATATGGGAAGAAGTGACTGTGAAGGATATTCTTTCAGGTTTGATGGCAACARTTGTTCTGCAATTCCCCTTCTAGTGTTGTTTGCTGTAATAGCTGTACCTCTAGGTACTAGAACATGTATATATGAAAAAAAAGTCTTTTTTTCCTGTTGTGACCACTTTGTACACCCTTGGAATGTGGACAAGTGTAGATACAAACCAGGCAGGAAGAAGAGTTGCCTCTTCTGGGCAGAACAAAGAAATCTTTAAACTATGAGAGAGAAATAATTTGGAAAAATCCTTTCATTGAGACTAGTGGAGTGAGGAAGCCTAACTGGTTCTAACATGAGTGCTTGCTGCATTTACACTTAGGATGATATGCTATGATATGAATTCTTTTCTACCTCAGGGACAAAGTCCTGGGCAGCTGGGCATGGCTGATCTCCTTGTTCGTGGTGCTATCTACGTTTGGTTCATCTAATGGCACCTTCTTTAGCGGAGGTCGCTTGTGCTACACTGCTGCAAGGGAAGGCCATATGGTAAGGGCAAAAAGGGGTTGTTGCTTCAAGCGACTATCCTTCCTTGTGGTGCTAAAGCAGAAAGGAAAAGATGGTATATATTCATCTGGAAGAGCCATAGCTCTTCAGTGGTTTACTTCTTGGTCAAATACTTTCTTCTCTTGCTTTTTTTTTAATGTAATATGTACAGTCACTCTTGACTTCCTTCTTTAGCCACATAATACCAGAAAGCTTCGGTGGACAGATGCTTGATTTACATCTACCCTGAATTTTGTGAACAACTTTGAAGTCAAAAAATCAAAATTCTGCTATATTAGAGCATCTGGCACAGGGGGAGACCTAGCTGGTAACCCTAACAGTGAGTGGAAACCTGGCTGTGCTCCGGGAATGCCAGGAGAAATCCTGACCATGGCTTTGTCTGCCATGTCATCTTCTGCTCTCAGGTACAAAGGATATCACTCCAAATCACCACATTCTTTTTCTTTTTTTTTTTGTACTGGAAAGAATCTGTTATGTATATGTGGCCCAGATGAGTGGGATTATGGTGATTCGCTTCATGGTTTCTCTTGCTGGTGACAGTGTCTGCCATATGCCAGAAAGCCCTGTGCTCAGCACAAGACAGAGAATCTGAATTTGACTGTTCCAGACTGAATAAGATCTAAATTCCTACTGCATTTCTCAGACATCATTGCTGCAGCAGAAAGGCCCGCATGACATTTTGGTTGGAAATGAAAAAAAAAAAACACAAACCTTTCTCATTAACATTTCCCAACTGAACAGGCAATAATTCTCTCAATGTTCTGGAATAAATCATGGTTTGCTTTGTGGTTGGTTGCAAAAATGTTTAAGGAGGAGTCCTGCATTTYTCATTTCGCAGTAAGCTCAAGAGCAGTTGAGTCCCAGGGAGACGTAGCAGAGGGCAGAGGAGAGGCACGGCGCACAAGGCCAAATTTGCTTACTGGTGATGACCAGAAAAGCTCTGATGTGATTCTCAGCCTTAATCTGTCACGCTGRTAGTTTGAAAATTTCATCTTGTTTGCCAAAGCTAAGCAGACTTAACAAGAAATCAGTGAGACACAATAAAAATATCCTTGAGGGGGGTTCCRTGTTTACATTTCTTGGAGATGAACTGCTTTCATATTATATTATGGTGCTTACTTGGTGATTAAGAGCATCTGGCTACAGGCAGAACTCCCACTGGCAGCCGTGGGGGATGAATGAGTATCTCTGCGTATGTGATATGATAAATATATTGTTTTGCTTTGGCTTTCAGCCAGACATTCTGTCGATGGCTCATGTGCGACGCCTCACACCCTCCCCTGCGCTGATGTTTACATCCGCTTTGTCTTTAATAATGATACTATCGGGAAGCTTCACAACCATCGTGAACTTTTTCAGGTAGATGTAATATTTCTGTGATCCTGATTTTCAAATTTGTTTTGAAGTAATTTCTTTTAATATTTTTTAAGCCTAGACTGTTAATTTCTAACTAATGTTGTGATTGGGGGAAAGAAAGAAAAGAAAGAGCTTAAGGACTAGCATGTTTGCAATAAATGATTATTTCTGTAATTATAGATTTGACTGGTCATGATTTGTCCTTATATTCAAATTAATCTATAATATTACAATCATTTTAAAGTTCTGAAAATTTGTGCTTGAAAAAAATAAATGTGTTACTAAAGTTATGGCAATATTCTCCCTTTTAATAGGAGATATGTACATGTAGGATCTGCAAGACAGGACTGATACTGCTGCATGATCTCATCCCAAACGTGATTTTTTTTTTTTTTTGCAGTTTTATTGCATGGTTTTTCTATGGCATGACTATTTTGGGTCTTCTGTATTTAAAAATCAAGAAACCAGAACTGCCAAGATCTTACAAGGTGAAGTAATAATAAAATTAACCCACCCAACCCTTTTCCTTTACTTACCAAATGACTAAGACAACTTTACGAAGAAAGAGCACTATGGTTGGTGCTAACTGTTTATATGTAGTTGTCCTTTCTTTTCTAAATTCACATTTTGTCCCAGTAAAGTCAGCAAAGGGCAAGACAGTTTAGAAGTGCAGGGAAAAGATAAGCTTGCATTGTCCAGCTTGAAAAGGTTATAATGCACTGCCCCCTCACTGCAGAAAATATATCTACCATATCCTCTTTTTTTTTAGAAACTTGAGAGGAAAATTAAGATGATTCTGGTAGGCAGGTGATCTGGTAGGTTGCTCTTAGAGCTGGGAATCTAGAATTCTGGATTATCTGGATTCCTGGATAATACCTCAGGCTGTAGCCAAACTTCATCTAAAAATGAACGTGCTCTCACAAAAAAAGGAAAATCCAGGGTTGTCCAGGTCCTCAGGGATCCAGGATTTACATGTTTACTTACATCGATGTCTTCTTTCACAGGTCCCAATTGTCATCCCCATAATCGTGTTGGTGGCAGCTGTTTACTTGGTGTTAGCTCCCATCATTGATCAACCCAAGTTCGAGTTCCTCTACCTCATCCTGTTCACTTTGAGTGGTATCATTTTCTACCTCCCCCTGGTTCGTTTCAAGTACCACCCCCGCTTTTTGAAGAGAATTACTTTACATCTCCAGTTGCTTCTGGAAGTTGCTCCAACTACTAGGAATAAAAACTGAGATGACATCCTCTTGGAGTGCAGCTGGCTGCCCCTGCTGATTTCTTCCAACGCCTTGATTTTCAAGCTGTGCTGTGAAATATTTTTCTGTGAAGAGAATCAGTACAGTGATAGTGAAACCAAAATGTCTAGCTAATAGAGAGCAGGGTCTTGATTCTTCACACATTTTGGGTCTTTCTTTGGTGATAGCTGTTCAGCTCTGCCTTGGCACATGCCGTGCTGGCTCAATCAGAATGAATGCTTCTTGATCTTCTGTCCTGGGAAAAAGTGCCCTCAAAAACCTTAGCACTTATTTTTCAAGGCAACAAGAAATGAAAGACTATCAAAGAAATACTATTCTTATAGCAGTCTGTGGTCTTAAGACATTCCTGCCAATGCCTCTAATTACTTCCACTTAGCTATGCCCACTCTGATTGCAGAGCTTCTCAGATAAATAAAACATAAGCAAAAAAAAAGACATTTTCACAACAAAATTAACCTTTCCATCCAGGTGTTTGTCCATGGTCTGGGAGCATGGATTGCTTTGTGCAGTCTCACACGTACAGTTACCACAGTTCCCTCTCTCTGACCCTGACGTGCTCCCACTGCGCTTTAGTTCAAATCCTCCTACATCTCACACTAAAAAATACTCTGAATGAGATTGTAAATACTTTAAAGCTCTATTGCTTACTCATTTAAGAATGCATTTGTCATCTGAGATCCACCCATTCATGGTGAGGACACATATCACTGGCAATCACCCAATGCCTCTCTTACAACTGCCCCCAAATCATACAATTTCTCTTGTGACTGAGTGAGAAAACGAAAATTCTGCAGCATATGAGCCAGCAACACATTCTTGTTGTTAAAGAAACCACATAACATTAGGATAAGTGGGCAGATCAAGATCTTGCCACTGAACGCTGGTGAGGACACACCTGGAACCCTGCAGCCAGTACTGGGCTCTCCTGTTCAAGAGGGGGTTATGAAGATGACAAAGTCGGGTTCTTCTTGATAATGGAAACTAGTGGTAACAGCCACACTTTATGGCTTAAGATGTTCAGGCTGAAACTCAGCAAGAGAGTGCAGCCCTGGAGCCATAATCAGGGAGGTGGTGAGAATTTGGTCTTTGTAAGTTTTCAAGACACAATCCTCCCAACCAGTTCCTATGATTCTAAAGCTACAGCACACAAAAAAGTCATGAGCTGTGCCGTCACCCAAATCTGACACACTGCAGTCACCATTGCTTTCCATTATTATGAATCACAAYCTTCTTTCTCTTGTTATAGGTAAAAAGAAAAATATGCTGTCTTTTTTTTCCACCATTTGTGCAGATGGGTCTGGGATGGAGGCTTGTCCTCCATCTATGGTTAATCCTTAAAATGTCTCCAAGCATCTCAACGTACTAAATTGTTGCTGCGGTCAACTTCCTGTCTTACAGCGTTTGATCTGAATCTGCACCTAACACGGCAGGGTCACTTGGTCCTCCGGGATTCTTCCCGTGAATCTCAAAGATCTGCGTGCCCGATTACAGGCTCATTCTGTAGTGCCGCTCCTCTTCCCCTGAATAGTCATACCAGCAACTAGAAATATGCAAGAACAGTGTTTTCTTCATCCAAATTTAAAGTATGGTAATAAGATCTGCAAGTTATCACTCATCCTCTAAATCAAGGGATTAATTTAACTTAAATGCCATCTAGGAAGATTTCCATCCACTACTGTTTACATGAGTCAACATCAGAGATGAATGAAGACACAATTTGCCCTCCTGGATCCTAGAACAATGTGAAAAGCTTGTGATACAGCTGTCTGATGACACTTTGTCTTCTCTCCCTTCAGTTCAATGGAGAGAATGTGGAAGATTTATCTTGTCCTGAATGGACTAAGGAGCTCTTCATCTAGTATATAAAGATGCTGAGCAAATTTAAGAATGAATTAAGTGGCTTTTTCAAAGCGTAGAAAATGTGACTGTTTTTCCCTAAGTTCATGTCAAACATCTTATTCTGTAACACATCCTCTCTGTGCACCTATGAAGTASAAACGAGCAACGAACGCAGACATGGGCATTAAAATTAAGTGAGATTTCTTTTGGCATGGTTGTTGCTRTTTTCCATCCAAGAAAAACAGCACCATAGAAATTTTTCTACATAAACATAAACAGTCAACACCAGGCTCATCTCTCTGTGGATGGAAGATTTAAGCGCATGTGTGGGTGYTTATATATGTACACAGTCATTTTCCAAAGTAATTGCTTATCTATTTCAACCTCAGCATATGTAAATCAAGCTTCTCTTTCCTTCATCAGATCTTAGCAGTACAAGTGTGAGGAAGAGGCAGCATATCCTACCTGTTCATTCCTACAGCACAGTGACCAACGTGGGGGCAGTCAGACCTCTACAGCTGTTGCTGAGCTCTGTGTTGTAGGTTCTACTGCATAGCCACGTCAGTCTCATCTGAGTGCTGTAGGAATCCCTGGGTCGTGTGTCCCTTCCTTCATGGGCCCCATGGAAAAAAAGGATGTCAGCATTGTCCTCAACATAACTTGAAGACTTGCATTCTGACTCAGGACCCTGCGTGTAACTGAATCTCATGCCTGAGAGGTTCAGGTGACGAGATGTAAACATCAAACAGGAGCTGTACTTCATGCACAAAGCTAAATATATTCTGAAGTCTTCCTGCCTTCGTYAGAGGTACTGCAGATGACCTACAGCTAGTGACAGTCAAGGCTGGGTCAGTGTGTGAGTAGTACAGAAAACCCTTCTCAGGTCATTTTAAGAGCTTTGTTCATAAGCCTAATTTCTTAGCAATTGTCATCATTTGTGGTTGAGGAGAAATTTCTCCTTGGGTGGGATAGAACAAAATATGTGAGGATTTTTCTTCTCCTTTATTGTATAAATATATTTCTCCTCTCTGAGATTATTTAGGTTTATCTTACCAGTTCTCTGCCAATGCCAGACTGTTTAAGAGGAAGATAATGAAATATATGAAGCTTGCAGGACTATTGTGAAGCTTAATCCATCCATGTTTGTAAAGTGAAAGGAAATAATATCACAGAAGAAGAATCACAAGAAAAAGGCTTCCAATAATGGAGCTTTTTTCCCTAGGCCAGGCAATCCTTCTTGCCTACAGTCAATATTAGGCGCGTGGTGCCTGCAGGAAACGCACGTGTTGGCTGTGGCTGGAGGGCGATTCCTGTAAGCCCTGCCCAGCTGAGTCWCCACTGCCGTGTTCTTCAGCGGGTGCCAGGTCTCCGCACGAGTGCCAGGTCTCCGCACCGTGTGAGCAGGGATCCTAGGTGGTGGATCTGGGATCCGGCTTCGCAGGTGGGAGCGGTGCCATCAGCCCCGTTAGGCGGCGCAGAGGAGGGCGGCTGCGTTCGGCCACACCGGGGCCCGCTGTGAAATGGGCCTGCAGTCCAGGGCCTGGGCAGGCCCGAGGCCTGCACAGGAGGGACAGAGCGTTGTCCCCTGCAATGAACTCCAAGGCAGGGTCGGACTGTGCTGGGTTTGTGTGAGGCGCCAGACTCTCGGTGTGCGAGGCACAAACATGGCCACAGCTGAGGGAGCAGGAGGTGGCTTTGCATCCCCGCGGTGCTGCTCCGAGGCCAAGACACTGTCTGGGCAGAAATGGCTCTTAGAAATTTCCTTCTCTGCCTTCCTCGAGTTTCCAGTGAGTTGCTCTCAGCCCAGGTCACCCTCAGCACCAAGTCTTCCACCTCTTGCCCTGAGGGCCAAGCCACCAACCTGCCCAACAACCCCCAGCCTGTTTTTCCACTTGTTTAATACACTTTGAGCAAATATGTCTTTCCTCAGATTTGCAATGCAAAAGACGCCAGAGGCAACACCAAAGCGCTTTTTTTTTTTCAGGAGAACAAGTGAATGTGGGGCTGAGGGCAGGGGCCGGGCGTCATGGAGCTGTGGGAATATCCATGGAAGAGGTGTGGCACATAGGAAGGAGGCTGGCTGGAAGTTCCCTGGGGCTAAAACCTTGGCTTTGCTAGCTCAGACAGCAAAAGACACTGCTTTGAGGCAGCACAGAAGAGCACGAAGGCACAGGTGTGCACATCCCCTGTGCTCTTACATCTAATGCATAAGTAACAGACCCACCGCAGCTGCTGGAGTTCAGAGCTGTAGTGTGAAAGCTARAGGCTGTGGAGAACATTTTGCAGAGAAAATCCGCTCCGGTAGATGGCAGTGGCAGACATCTGACTAGCTGAAGGCCTCCTTAGCRCTGCTGTGTCCCGCTGCCCTGCTGGATGTTCCTTTACTGGGAGAGCACCAGGAAAGGGCTTGGATGGGCCGGGGCGGGTGGCGCAGGAGCTGGGGAAGCTGCGCTGTGGATACTGCTTCCGAGAAGGACAGCAGCAAAGCTCTGCTCACCATGTAGAACAGGCCCTGTAAGGAATTACAGGTCGTGCTAAGGAAGCCGTGTCCTGGCACAGCTTTAGCCAACTTCTCATCTTGCTGTCTCTCCAAGCCTTGCTGCCCTAGCTCCACCAGTGCCCTGCAGCCAGCATGCAACCCCYGCTTCCCCAGAGCCTGGTCCAGTACTCATTTGATGTCACGGTGCAATCCAAATCACTGAAATGACAGAAAAGCTCATTTTAGGGGCAGGTTAGATCAGTCAGCTTCACTTCTCACTGAACAAATGCCAGCTCAGGTGCAAAGGAGAGGGTGAAATCAYGTGGCTGAAAGTGGATGGTGAGAGGGGAAGGACAGCCAGAAGGAGAGGGAGATGAAGAGGGAACAAGTCCTCCCTTCCTCAGCAGTGGCTTGAAATGGGCTGAGCTCAGCTGCCTCCTGAGGCTGTCCCAGCACCAACCATGGCCGAGTGCAGCAGACCCACCCAGAGGCCTGGTGAACACAGGGAGGAGAGACTTCCATTGGGCTGTGACTATTGCAATAATTACTGCTCCTAGCCATGGAAAAGGAATTCCCTAACAGCCATTGCCAAGGTGTTCGCACAAAAGCTTTTCTGCTTAAAGCAGTAGCAATTAAAAAGGAAGAGGGCTTATCAGCATAA